CCTGGCCCGCTGTGTTCCTCCAGCTCCACACTTTGTTATCTCTGACTCCAGCATTAGCAGTTCTTGCTATCTCAGTAATCTACAGAACTCTTGTGTTTGCCACCTGTTATAGGTTTGCTGCAATCCACCTTCTGCTAAATGCACTCACTTGGTCTTGAAAAGCCTCTTTGGTGGCCTGTGTACCAAAGAACACACTGCAGCACCAGAGGATCCATCGTTAAAACAAGTAAAAAGGCCCCAAGGTTAATAATATCTCACTGAAGACCTTGATCTTGTCTGAGATCACTTAAGATTTTGACTAACATCGAAGTCTTTGGCAGTTTTGGGTGTGGCGCTGAGGAATAGGAAGCCATTACAAGTCCCTTACCACCATTTCCTAGGGGCATGGAAGTGGTGATAAATATAGTTGGATGAAAAGAAAATATTTCAGGCACCCTTGGCCCCCACTTCAATTTACAAGTGGTGGTTGAGATCATTCATTCCTGACTTTGGTTGGACTTAATTCCTGATGGTTAAGGGATATGAGGGCTTAGTGGTAAGATCACTGGACTAATGATCCCGCAGGCTCAGTCCGCATCCTACCATGGCAACTAGTGGAACTTAAATTCAATCAATAAAGTTAGAATTGAAAACTAGACTCAGCAACAGTGACCATGACAACCACCACTAATTGTTTTCTAAAAACCATCTGGTTCACCAATTCTCTGTAGGGAAGCAAATCTGCCATCTTTACCTGGTCTGGTCTACATGTGACTGAAGACCCACTGCAATGTGGTTATCAATGTGGTTATCATTGACCAGGTCAGCATTTGTTGCCCATCCAAATTACCTTTGAACTGAGTGGCTTGCTGGGCCATTTCTGAGGGCAGTTATGAACCAACAACATTGATGTTGGTTCATAACTGCCCTCACAAATGGCCCAGCAAGCCACTCAGTTCAAAGGTAATTTGGATGGGCAACAAATGCTGACCTGGTCAGTGATAACCACATTGAATAGACTAAATAATAGTTTTACACACTTGTTGGAAATTAAAATATGTTCAGGTTGTTTAAAAAAAAAGTTGAAATTTGTGCACCTTTCCCCAGAAGGAAGCTTTCAATGATTCTTTGAGAGATGTTCCACATCTCGCCCCCAGGAGGTACACAAGAGAGACATAACCAGATTACCTGCTGCTGACATAGTTTTTCCTTCTTGTTTTCCTGTTGGGAAACCTCATGTTGGCTGCTTAATGGCTCAGCTGGAAATCTGGAACTTTTCATTATGGTTAAAAGAGACCACAACCTCATTGGCAATTATAGTGTAGGAACATAGGAACAGGAGTAGGCCAGTCAGCCAGATCAGCTAGTTTCACCATTCATAGCTGATCAAACACTTTAATGCCTTTTATCCACCCTATCTTCATAGTGGTTAAGTTGCTGTACGAGTACGTTAAAGGCGTGGACTAATGATTAGGTCCCGTGTATTCAATAACCCTCCCACTGGAGCTGGTCAAATTTGAATTCAATTAATTAAGTGAAACTATGAAATTGTTGTTTTGGTCATCTGGTTTGTTATGGTCTTTTAAGAAAGGAAATCTGTCATCCTTACCCAGTCTGGCTCATATATGACTCCAGAGATACAATACTGCTCACTCTTAGCTATCTGCTGAAATAGCCCCAGAAAGCCATTCAGTTGTTAGAAAGACAGTTCCCCAGCATTTCCCTCAAAGACAGGACATGCTGAGTTCAACAATGGCACTAACATGTCGTGAGTGAAGGAGACAACCCAGCCTCTTATTTGTTGCAGCTTTCCTGATTTGGTTTCTGGCCTCTTGTACTTGGTTAGGGATCTCATGCAAACTGCAGCAAACCCTCACTAATACTGTTCATGAGCATTGGGTTTTGAATGGAGCTCCCGAAAGGGGGAGTTTGGACCCTCCAGCTTCTGACTTGAATGACCTAAGCCAGTAGATAATTTGACGGCTGCTTGGCTCTACTTCAGAAGTAAAGAACCAAAGGAACAGTTGACAGAGAAGTAATTTTTTGAAAAATTAAGAGAAGATGACAACAATTAAATCAAGGCTGTAATGAAAGGAACTGTTTTGCCACTGAGGTTTTAGATGCAGAGGAGATTTACCAGGATGTTGCCTGGGCTGGAGAGTTTCAGTTCTGAAGAGAGATTGGACAGACTGGGGTTGTTCTTGTTAGAGCAGAGGAAATTGAGCAGGGACATGTATAACATTCTGAGGGCCATAGATAGGGTAGAAAGGAAGAAGCCTTTCCCCTTAATGGAGGGATCAATAACCAGGGGGCATAGATTTAACGAGGTTTGGAGTAGATGTGAGAAAAAAACATTTTCACCAGAGAATGCTGGGATTCTGCAGGTTCACTGCCTGTAAAAGGCGTGATGCCACAGAAACCTTCTTAACATTGAAGAAGTATTTAGATGTGCACTTGTGATGCCAAGGCATACAAGGCTATGGGCCAAGTGCTGGAAAACGGGATTAGACTAGTTAGGTAGACAACAGGAAGCTGGAAGAACACAGCAAGCCAGGCAGCATCTGGAGGAAAGGAGAAATCAATGTTTCAGGTATTACCCTTCTTCAGGACTGGATGTGGGGGTAGGGGGAGCTGCAGATAAAGGTAGGGGAGAGGGGGGTAGTGGAACAGTGGTGATCGGTGGACACTGATAGTAGGTACAACCTGGTTAGTCGATGGGAGAGATGAATCCGGTTGGTGGCTGGAAGGGAGGGTCAGAAGGTGGAATGGAAGGGAGGAGGTGGGGCTGGAAAGGGAGCTGAGGGATGGGTCGGAAGGTTATTTGAAATGGAAGAACTCAATGTTGACTTCTCCGGGCTATAGGGTGCACAGGCAGAAGATAGGGTGGTGTTCTTCAAAGTTGCACTCTGAGTCGTTGCGACACTGGAGGAGGGTGAGGACGGACATGTCAGAGCGGGAGTAGGACGGGGAGTTGAAATGGTTGGTGACCGGAAGGATGGGCTGGTCGTTATGGGCCAGGCGGAGATGATCGGCAAAACAGTCACCTCGTCTACGTTTGGTCTCACTGATGGTCTTCTCTATATCGGTGAGATCAAACAAAGACGAGGTGACTGTTTCGCCGAGCATCCTCAGCTGGCCTAAACTTCCTGTCATCGCCCATTTCAAGTAGCACCACCCCCCACAACCCTCCATACTCCCCTCCTCTGACATGTCCGTCCTCGGCCTCCACCTATATCACTGCGATTCAGAACGCAAATTTGAGGAACTACACCTTATCTTCCGCCTAGGCCCAGCCCACAGGACTCAACATTGAGTTCTCTCATTTAAAATGACCTTCCCACCCATCCCCCGGCTCCCTTTCCAGCCCCAGCTCCTCCCTTCCATTCCTCCTTCTGAGCCTCCCCTCCAGCTACCAACTGGATTCATCCCTCCCATTGACCAACCAGGCCGTACCTATTACTGGTGCCCACCTATCACCAACATTCCACAACCCACGCCATCTCATTTTGTCTACAGCTCCCCCTAACTCCATATCCAGTCCTGAAGAAAGGTAATACACAAAACATTGACTGCTCCTTTCCTCCAGATGCTGCCTGGTTTGTTGTGTTCTTCCAGCCTCCTGTTTGTCTACTTTGGATTCCAGCATCTGCAGTCTTTTTGTCTCTTAGAATATTTAGGTGGTTGTTTTAGGTCGGCACAGACATGTTGGGCCAAAGGGCCCTTTTCTGTGCTGTATGTGTCTGTGACTCTAACACGGAGGTGGTTCTTGAGCTAAGGAGCTTGCTACACCGTTTCAGTTAAGTGCTGGTCACAATGGATTAAAACAGAAATTTGCAGCAGAGAGGAGGCCATTCAGCCCTTTAAGCCTGTTCCGCCATTCAATATGATCATGGCTGATCATCCAACTCAGTGCCCCGTTCCCACTTTCTCCCTTTGATGCCCTTAGCCCTTGGAATATATCCATCTCTTCTTGAAACCATTCAATGTTTTGTCTGCAATTGATTTGCATGGTAGAGAATTCTACAGACTCGCCACTCTCTGGGTAAAGATATTTCTCTTCATCTCAGTCCTAAATAACTGACCCTGTGTTAATAGGCCCCTGGTTCTGGACTCCCTGGTCAATGGGAACATCTTTCCCATGTTGACCCTGTACCATCCTAATTGATATGGTGATAGAGGTACTGCAGTCACACATAGGCTGGGTAAGGAGGGCAGGTTTACTTCCTAAACAATCTGTTGAATTTTTAATCGATAATCCAATGTGCTTCATAGTAACTTATACAGAGGCCACCTTTTCTACCTCCAGATCTTTCAGACCAAATTTAAATTCACGAATTGCCATACTAGGATCAGAACTCCTATCTCCTTGCTTTTCCCATCTTCCAGGCCTTTGAATTATTTGGCCAGTATTTGCTGGTGTAAGCCTTGGCTCAGCTGGTAACATGCATGTCCCCAAATCCCTAAGTTCTGGATTCAAGTCACCCTCCAGGGGTCAAGCACAAATTTGAAAGCTGACGCACCACTCCAATCCCTTGATTAGAACCGCAGAGAAAAATTACAGGACAGAAGGAGGCCATTCAACCCATTGTGTCTGCACTGATTAGATAAACCAGCCTCCAGTTCTCATCCCACAACCTGGTCTGAGCCTTGCAAGTGATACAAATTACCTGATCATCAACTGAGCTCTCAGTGACTACTCAGTGACTGAGCATCTGTAGTTGTTTGGGCAGAGGCTTCAAAACATTAGCGGGTCTTTGAGTGAAGAAATTGCTCTTTGGATCAGCCCTAAACAGCTCAGGCCCCTCCCCACCCACCCTGTCAATTCTGAGACTATGTCCTCCAGCCTCTTTGCCATTTTAATCCCTCAAAAAGGGGGTAACATCTTCTCTCAATATGGCCATTCTCAAATCTCTTAGGAATTCTCTATGTTCAGTGAGATTACCTCTAATCTGTCTAAATTCATTGACGTAGGACCCATTTGAAAGGAGTGGCTTGGGGTACGCTTTGTAACTGGGACTCACCAGTGAACAGGTGTTATTCCAATCTGCTACTTTGGACGCGACAGTGGCATTCTGCTTCCTTCGGAGGAGATTTTCCGCAGTGCCGTAGTAGCTCCGGTGAGGAGCCGTGTCTGACGTGAGGCTACTTTTAAATTCCACTGAGTCTGAAGAGTTGGAAAAGTTATTTACCCTCTTTGTGTACCCGTCAGTTAAGGCTCCTCTGGAGCTACCACTTGGTTCAGCCACCTCACTGGTAGTGAGGGCACGGCTCGCCTTCCTTACAGTCACTCGGGAGAAATCCGTGCCAAGATCGGTGCCGTAGCAAGTGGATTCCACCTGGACCCCACTCCGGCTCTTCCTCCATGAAGCCCTCTCCGGTGGATCCACTGGGAGACTTTTTGTCTCCGTTTCTGCCTGGTTAGCCACACAACTCCTCCTCCTTGCTTCGTAAGAAGTTACACCACAGTCGCCTTCTTCATACCTGGGAGATTTGATTGTAATACTGCTGCTCACCAACACCTCAGCCCCTGATTCAGTCTCATCTTCATCAGAGCTGTCTGATTCCGATGGCTTCATTGTAATATCACTCCTACGGATTGATATTTCATAGGGAATACTAATATTGCTCCTTTGTAAAGTTGTCTCACTTGAACTGATTGTAATATTGCTTGTGGAAGTGTGCTTTTCCTTTGGTATCACAGTACTATTGATCCTTTGAGAGGACAAACTCGATGGAGGTATAGTGATGCTACTGGTCACTTTATTTGGCACAGTTTTGGGTGAGAGCCCATGCTCTTCGTCGACTGGCTCCGCCCCAGTTGTCATTATTTCCTTTTTGTCAATGGCAATTATAGCAGGTTTAATAATTGCTTTAGACCTTAGGCCCTCTCTCGGGCTACAAATCCTCTTCAGCTCCAGGCCTGGCTTTTGATTCGCAGCCACATCTTCAGAGGCGATGGTTTCAGTGGGTTTATAGTGGAGAGGCTGTCTGTCCATGTTACACCTCACGTCTATGTTGTCCATGTCCTGGGACTTTGCCAAATGGAAGTACCTTGACCTGCGTGGTCTCGTTGTCACGGGCATGACTTCCGTCGTGGTTTCCGGCTCCTCGTGTATTGGCAACTTTTCAGCAGTCTTTACAGCAGTCGGCTCACTATTGGTGCTCGTTGGCGCTTCACCCCCGAGCAGGTCGGTATCCTTCAACTCACCACTGGGCGTTGGTGAAGCTGTGTGATTCCTGTAAGAGGGAAACATTCCATTCAAAAGGCTAGCAGTAGTACTCGTGGATGATGAGTCCTCACCAGAATCATTCACCTCATCTTGAACTGCTAAATTCTCATTTTCAGAATTGTGTAAATAGCTGACAGCTTTTCTCTGTCTTTCAGGCAGTACAGACGATTGTTCCAAGTCACTGTAGTCCCTGGACGCTGTATCTACTTTGCTCTTTGGTCCATTTTCACTCTGTTTACTTTGAGTGTTCCAGGGTCTCTTCACACTGGATTCATTCGCTGCTGGAGGATAGCGACTGAGCACCGATGGGGGCTCCCTCGTTTTCTTAAGCTTCTCTGGCTGCAGGTCCTGATCTTTCTGTGCAGAGATGTAGCTGTGCGTTAAAGATTTATCCTCGGACTTCTTTTCATTGGAAGCCGTTCTCGGGTTTGAAGAGGGCCGTTGAAATCTTCGCCTCGCGCTGGGACTGAGGGGGCGTCTGTAACTTTTCCCAGTGTTGTCATCATCCAGCAACAAGTCTCTGTTTCTCACCTTCTCCCTCTGTGACCGCGGCTGATGCGACACCTCGTGCGTCTTCTCTTTCAGGATCTGCGGCTCTGCTGCAGCTACACTTTTGCATTTTGTTTTGTCCTGTCGAGACCTGTAACGAATCTCCTGGTGCGCGGTCTCGCCATTTTCCACGGCCTTGCTCCTCGTCATTTGCAATTTCATCTCCTCGATCTGATCGGCTAGCATTTTGGTTTTGCTTTGCTCATTCAGAAACCTCTCTTGCAACTCATTGTGTTTGGCTTCTGTTTTCTTCAGGTCTTCCTCTACCATCTCCAGCAGTTTCAGACGTTTCTTCAGCCTTTCGATTTCCTGAGTGAGATCCTTAATTTTGTTGTCTTCCTGACGTTTGTGGTCTCCTTTGTTTCTGAGTCCAACATTGTGTGTTGTATTTAGAGAGTCTAAACTTTTCTTTGCCAGACTGCCTTTGGGAGACAGGCCTGAGGACAAGTCGTCCTCAATCCTGAGATCACCTCTGTCCCCTGAATAGTTATATGTCTTCTCATTGACATTTGTCCTGAGATTTGAGGAGTTCCAACTTTGATCTGTCTCATTTATCTTGTTATTTTGTTCTAGTTTCTTTGTAAGGTCCTGGATAACTTGTTCCTTTTGCTTCAGTGTTTCATTCATGGTCTTCCTCTCCTCCGCTAAAACGACGGTTAGAGATTTTAATTTCTCCAGCTCTTCGATGATACTTTTCTCCGACTTATCGAGCCGACCCTCTGTGGACTCCAGGTCCTTCACTCTGGCTCGGAGGACCTCCAGTTCAGTGATCAGTTTCCTGGTGAGGTTTTTCTCTTCGTTCAAGCTCAGGCACAGTTGAGTGCAGTCCGATTTACTCTTGTTAAAGGCTTCTTCCAATTTCTCCAGCTCCCCCATTCTGTCCTGCAGCTTCTCAATCTCGGCCTTGAGCTCTTGGCTCAGCTTGACTTCAGCCTCCAGTTTTTCTTTCAAGGTCCTGCACATGTCTTCGGCCTTCCTGACCTCCTCGTCCTTCCCCTCGATGGTGAGTACCCTCTTGCGTAGGTTGTCCACCTCAGTCAGGAGGCTACAGCTGCTGCCTTCGGCTTGGATCACTTTGTCCTGCAGATCCATTAACTCATCCTCTGTTCGATGCAGATTTCTTGTAGCCTCCTCCAGCTCATCCACACGGCGGCCCAAGCTGGTCAGCTTTAGCCGCAAATGCCGGTTTGAAGTCTCTTTGAGGCTCATAGTGTCGGTCATCGCCACTCCCTTGCTGAAATCCAAGATCAAGGGATGGGGGAGGGGGTTGGGAGGGGGAAGGATTTATTTTTCTTGTTTGGACTCTTCCTCCTTCTTTTGAGCATTTATGCACTGCCCCTTCCTGTGGCCAAACCTTCTTCTTTCAATCCCAAAATATCCTGAAACGCAAATTTTCAGTTCGATGAAAATCCCCTTTTCCTTTGCATCTGAAGCGCTCTTTTCAGATTCAAAAGCATTTTAACCTGTTAGGAAAAGAAAGAAGAAGCTTGAGAGATCTTGCCAAGATGGTTTTCAGGGTTTTAATTAACAAGTGCTCACTGTAATTATCTCAGTCAGGCATATCCTCGTGCACAGAGTCATTAGACACCCTTTGAGAATAGCTGGTGATTGTGAACAGCCTCTGGGATTTTCCTGATCGGATACTGAAAATCCAACAGAAATCCCAGATACATCAGTAAACGCAATATCTGCCAAAGTTACACCAACTGGTTGGAAGCAAATTTTCAGCGATTGTGTCACTGTTAGTTCAAAAGATGAGACCACAATGAACCAATACTGTCCCCCTCCTGCTCTCTGGGCTCTTGGTACGGTATAGAATAATGAAAGAAGAACAAACTTGCATTTACATAGCACCTTTCACAACCTTAGGCTATCCCATCATGCCTTACAACCACTGATGTCATCTCTGAAGTGTAACCACTGCTGTGACGTAGGAAACCAATTTGCGCACAGCAAGCTGCCATAATAAATAGCAAATGGGATCACGGCCACATAATGTGTTTCAGTGTTTTTGGTTGAGGGATAGATCTTGGCCAATACTTTGGGGAAATTTCCTCTGTGCTTTCTCAAAAATTCATGGTTTACGGGTTCCTTTAATTGGACCTAATGGGGCAGAGTTTCAACTGAAAGACAGTACCTCTGACAGTGCAACGCTCAAGAGTCAGTCAAAGTTTCTGCACTTAAATCTCAGGAGTTGAATTTGTAACCTTCTGACTCAGAAGTAAAGGTATTACTAACTGTACCATGGCTGACGCAGCCCTCCAGTATCTTGCTTACAATGCCCCAATTCCTGTGTGACCTGGCACAGAGGGCATCGCAACTGAACCTCAACCATTTCCCTCCTGGTGTCAATCCACATAAATAGCATTATAAATTATTGAATAGCATTTGACAGCAGTAAATCTGGCCCATTCTTTTTCTTTGTGGCTTTGGGGTACTGAGAACAACTGATGCGTTTCAGAATGTCAAATATCCAATTTGAGTCTTGCTGAACAGAGAGACACATTGCCTTGCATTCATCAGGACAAACACAAGAATGCCAAATTTCAAATGATCCCAGCAATTATTTGTGATTGGCTGAGACATTTCTATGGCGAAAACAATGGGAAATGGGGGATCCAATCATAGCTGAAGTGCCAACCAACCAGCACCCATTTGTCTTGCAGTATAAACTGTTGCGATGGTTTCAAATTTAGCTTTCTTGCATGTGTCCCAATAAATGCACGAGTAATACTTCAGCGACATGTCTCTCTCTTCAGAAGTTTTCAAATATCCATCTCTTTCTTTTGCAGCTTAATTGAGCAGTGTGATGTACATTCGAAATCTTTTCACTCCACTGCAACATTGTACCTCAACCCAATTCCTCAACAACGTCTGTGGGATGTTTCCAACTTCCTGGAGGGGCCATCCTTGTAGCTCTGAGTCCGCTGGACAGTTTGACAGCTTGTGCTCACTTGGTGGGCACTTTCTCACCAGTGGGGAATTGGTTAGAAACCTATTTCACTTAGCCACCTTCCAGTTAGCTCAGGGATAATTATTATCCCATTAAACTGGGCTAACGATCCAAAAGGTTTGTTTTCCTGTTTACTGAATCACCCAACAAGCATCTTTCAATGCTTCTGAGGAAACAGCACTAGATTTGACACTGAACTGGATTTATGCTGTTAATTGGAGAGAAAAACACACAAATGACCAATAATAAATAGATGTGATGACGCCCAGTCTGTGTCATTTGTAAAATTTTCTGGTTTAGTATATATTTTGCAGTAGCCCACTTCACCTGACTGCTTAAATCCAACAGAAGCAAAGAAAGAAAGACAAAAGTTAAGCAAAGATAGGGGCACATTTTGTTGAAATGCATCCTATTTTTGAAAAGCATTGTAAAATGAGGCTATGTGGATCATTATACCAATTGCTGTGTGTTAGTCTCAACCATAAAGTTGTTCGCCAGAGGGATAACACTAGAAAGGGTTTTGATGCTGAGTGCTGGGGCCACAGTGAAAAAGCACTTGCTTGCTTTCAGCCCCAGTGAAAGTAAATTTCAAAGAACATCTTTAAACTCAGGAGCAATTTTGCGTTGCCTTGCCCGCTGTTCATTCACTGTTCCTTGCAGCAGCCACTGAACACTAACCAGCAGGAATTTGTAGCTAATACTTTAAAATCACTTTCTATCTTAAAGTGCAGAATCTGATCATTCCTAGGCCTCCTGCTGCTCTGGTGAGCCCTGAAACAGTCAGTACATTTTTTAAGATATCATACCTGAAGTTCCAATGCCTTGCTGAGCTTTGTTCCTTTGCTGTCTCATTGATCACTTTGTGCTCAGTAAACTGATTACCTACTTCTTTTGAGCTGCTGAGTCTAGCGGTAATGAATTGCAGACCTAGGCAGCTGTGTTTTATGGCTCTGTATGTGATTCTTTGCTTTGTTAATCAGTCTTTCCCGCGAAAATCAGCGCCACCCCTTTCTAATACAAGGCGATCTCCTCAGACACACCCAGACTATTACTCACCGAATATCTTTCTAGAAGGAAAATCAGATTTGAATCTGAGAAAACAAATAGATTACTGCCACACTTCTTACCAAAATTCACATTCAAGCCCAAGAGAACCAGTCCCCTGTGACATTGGGAGAGAAACCTGTCCTTATTATTCTTCAATGAATTTCCAAGTCAATGTGAACGATGACGATCTAATCATTTATTGCTGAAAATGCAACTATATCATGGCTGGTACTTAAATTATTTAAACATTAAACAGTTCATTCTCCTGGCCAAGGCCAGAGCTCTCAGCTCTGTAATTTATACCATTTGAAAAGCCATAACCCTCATATTGTTGACCTGGGACAAAATGCAGTTCCCATAAATCCACCGTTTGTCATGACTCCAAATTGTCACTTACTGGTGCCCAATGCCAATTTTGCTGCATCCATAGAGAATGTCAGGACCTGCCAGGCAGAGACACTTCATAAATATTCTTGTCTTTGAGTTTGCTTTTACTATTTTTCTTTTCTGTTATTAATATAGGTTCAAGTACATAGTTCCTTGAAAGTGAGTTTCAGGTACACAGGGTGGTGAAGAAGGCATTTGGCACGCTTGCCTTCATTGGTCAGAGTATTGCATATTGGAGTTGGGATATCATAAGTCACAGCTGTACAAGACATTGGTAAAGCCACATTTGGAGTACTGTGTACAATTCTGATTGCCCTGCTATTGGAAGGGTGTTATTAAATTGAAAGGATGCAGAAAAGATTTACAAGAATGTTACCAGGACTGGAGGGGTTGAGTTATAAGGCTGGATACGCTGGGACTTTTTAACCTCCAGCAAAGGAGGTTGAAGGGTGACCTTATAAAGGTTTATAAAATAATGAGGGGCTTACGTAAGATGCATAGCAAAGGTCTTAAGGGGAAAGATTTAAAAGGGACCTGAGAGGCAACTTTTTCACACAGAATGTGGTTTGTATTGGGAATGAACTGCCTGAGGAAGTGATGGATGCAGGTACAGTTATAACATTTAAAACACATTTAGATAAGTACATGAACAGGAAAGGTTTAAAGGGATATGGGCCAAATACAGGCAAATGGGGTTAGTTCAATTTAGGAAACCTGGTTGACGTTGACAAGTTGGACTGAAGGGACTGTTTCCTGTATGAGTCCATTTTTCCTTCATACAACAGCACTGGCCCTCAATAAATTAACTGTCCAAATCCACAACTTCTACCACCTAGGCAGATATGGGAATACTACCACTTACTGCTTCCCCCTCCAACCCTCAATACCCAACACCACCCCCCACAATCCATAGACTCTGCTGACTCGGATCTATGTTGTTGTTCTTTCAGTGTCAATGGGTTAAAACTGTGGCACTCCCTTCCTATAAGTGCTGTGGATACCCAGCACATGGAATGCAGTCAGAAAGGCAGCTCACCACCAGCTACTCAAGGGCAATCAGCATAGGCAACAAATGCTGACCCAGCCAGTGATACCTCCATCTACAGATGAATCAAAAGAAAATAGATTGAGACAATGACTACGCATGACCTTGTACTGAGGACTCACTGCTGGATCAGAGAGCGAGGATGGGGGCAAACCAATTTCAGTCTGGGAGAGGGGGGGTGGCCTAACTGGAGTCAAAGCAGTTGGGTTTGAGTGTTGGCCACCAGCCAGAAACTATTTAACCAGAAATTAGGAATGAACACAGTCGGATCAATCCGAATTTGGGATATCTTTTGAGATGGGGATGGGAAGTGTGAGTGTCAATCCGACTCTTACATTCTTTCACCACTTTACGCTGAGTACTTACGAGGTTCAGAGCTTAATACGCCGAGACAACAAGTTGATCAGCAAATTGCTTGTTACGTTTATCTGGGACCAACCATCAAGGTAAATGGGGCCAAATAGGTCCGACATAGGGGAGCTTGGATTTGTCATTCAGTAAAGGTGTTGGGTAATCCCAGAAATGCCATGCTTTTTGTGGAAATGATTATATGTTGAAGTGGCACGTAAAGGGTAAAATCATTCCCCTCCATCACCAACCACCACCTCCGCACCACCACCACTCCCCACCCCCACTCCACCCCACCTAGGTTAGGGAGTGAAAGCTCCCCTGTAACTGTTGCCCAGTAACCTTGCTGAGGAGATTACACTGGAAACCCCTCACAAACCTAGTGCAAGCTTTGAAGAAGGCATTTTCAACACTCCCTTCCAAAAGCTGGCAGACCCACTTTTCATCAGGTATGGCTGGATGGGAAGCAGGCTGAACCAATTCAGGAATGAGGATATTGGAGAAAAACTGGGATTGAACTTTATTGAAATGCCTTCTGCCTTGGAGAAGAATGATCTTTCACTCATTGGTGACTAGCAGGAATGGAGACTCGGAGCAGATCGGAATCAGCTAATGGGAAATTGCTTTACATCTAACTTTTGAGTCTGAAATTTGGCGTGCTCCAACAGAAAGGCCTGAAATTG